GACTCCAACGATGCCTTGGATCTGGCGTTGTTCGACAAGGCCTGAACTAGAAATAAAATGGTTCGATTCAATTAGGGTTAGGGTTTTGATTCGATTCCATCTAAATTTTGACAAGGCATTGAAGAGTAGCCAAAGCGGCAGGGTAGAGTCACTGCCACAATTTTTTTAAATTTTCATGCACCAATATGTCACAGCTTCCTGCTATCCTTCGTAAGAACTATTTGTACTGAATTTTAAAGAAACCATGTTTGGAAAATAAATATTTGAGATGATTTACCACACACCTATAATCCATGATTTTGGATGCAATACATCAATGTTCGACGGCCAAATAATACAACATGGGACATCCATTGTGTAGTCCAGATGACAGACAGTGGAGATTTACTATAGCCTGGGTGAATATCCGGATGAATTTTTTGTTTGAAGGATTTAGTTAATTGCAGGGCAAGTACTTTTGCCATTGTCGAGCCATTTTTGGATGGTCGATCGAGTGTAGGTGACGCCAGTGCATAGGCTCACAAGTGATTTTATATGCCCAATGAAATTGGGCGATTGAAGAAAGTTGGGACTGTGATGCATAGGTTATTCTTTTTTGCCACTGTTCTGGAGAGAAGATTACGAAGATGGGTGCTGTAAAATTGGTTCATGCAGATTTTAGATAGAGAAATTGGTTGGAAGAGAGAAAATTTGATGATTAGTGTCTGTAAATTTGAGAGTTTATGGTCCTGCTTATTTTAGAAAGAGCAATAGGTCGGAAGCTTCGGTCAAACAAAAAAGAAATTGGTTGGAAGAGAGAAAATTTAATGGTGAGTGCCTGTAAATTTGAGAGTTTATGGTCCTGCAGATTTTAGAGAGAGAAATTGGTTGGAAGAGAGAAAATTTGATGATGATGAGTACCGGTAAATTTGAGAGTTTATGGCCAAAGAGAGAAGGAATAAACTTTTAAGATGTCAAAAATACCACTGCCCGATAAAATTAAAACAATATTTTTTAACCAAAATAGTGATAACGCGTTTTTTATATTTTTTTTTAAAATAGTCAAATAGTAACAATGTATTTTTCAAATTACATCTAGAGTCTACCCAAACCGTAACCATTCATTTACAAGTAATATATTTTACCCAAACCGTAACCATTCATTTACAAGTAATATATTTTCTAGACAATATATTTCCATATACCTAAACAATCCCTAAGACAATTACCCCATAAATACAAATATGACAAATAAAACCCAATCATGTTTTTTGTTTTTTTGTAGTCAACGGGTACTTTTGGAAAAGCAAGCACATGGTATATAATACATAAATTATCTGAAATGAATGAAGAAATTTCACAAAAACACCCGGTTTTTATGAGTCCCCCGACTCATACTATTCTCGTCTAGGCTGCTTCTAACGCCAATTTTTTATAGAGATCTTGGATCCAAATTTGTAGAGATACATGATCCACACTATGATAATCATGAATATAAAAAATAAAATACGATAAAATAAAATTTTTAAAACATTTTTTTTAAGATAAGAATCTTTTGCTGTGGAGGTCATTTTAAAGATGAATGTTGTTGACTCAAGGGGCTAGTGAGTCAACTTACTCGCAAAACACTTTTCCTTTATAAATAGGACTGGGTTTCTATGCAGCCAAGCCGTCAAAATGTGAGCTTCTTAATAAATCTATTTTTGAGATGGATTTTATGACTTAATTTTTAAAGACATGTAATCTCTAACATGGAGATCATGAATATGATAAATAAATAAATTTTAAAAAATAGAAATAATAATTCCAGTAAAAAAGCATTTGTACCGTTAGTTTCTATTGTTGTTAGATGGAACACCTACTTGCACCAATCTTTAAGATGGATGCTTTACATATTCAAGACTGCATATGTAAAAATGTAGTCTAGCCCGCATGAAACAATTTTCCTTATAAATATGCCACAAAATTTTATTTATTTATTTATTTATTTATTTTTTACATGAGACTTGCAAAATTTAGAATCTCTTGAAACTTAAGGAGTTAGAGAAGCCTCCTTGGCCAAGCAGTCAGTTACAGCATTTTTTTCTATAAACATGATTGAAAGAGACTACTAAACTTCCATAGACGTCTTTTATTTCATTATTTATGGGTAATAGACTCCACATACTTTGTTGGTCTCCTCTGATCCACCAGATAACATGGGAATCTCCTTCCACCATTGGTGCCCTCGACCTCTTTGTTAGCAACTAGGCCATTGAGGATTACTTTGGCTTCAGCTTCTACACTCTGTACCGGGCTTAAATAGGTGAGGATGTGCTTTCCACAATGAACTCTAACTACTCATCTAACCGAGGTGGTGTCAACTGCGCAAAGGTGCTGTCATCAAAATTCAACTTAAGAAAGCCTTCAGATGGTGATTCCCAATAATTCAGTTTTGGATTTGACAGGGGTTATTCTTACAATATCTTTCAATTGGGCAAGTCAATTGAGTTCATTCCCCGTAGTTCTTTATGTGATTCAGCCTAGGCTACGATCGTAGACATAAGTTCAATTTAAGGGGATTAGGCTACCATGTCCATGGTATTCAGAGCTCACTTGCTCGTCTCCATCCATGCACCCAAATGGAAGTCATTGTAGCAACTTTCCATTGGGTATACTTGATTTTAGGAATTGGGGAAGATGACCACTTAATAATCAGTTGGTCGACAATGGCAGTACCCGCTATGCATCCTCATCGTCGTCGTCAAAGCTTTTTTCCAACTAATTGGGGTCGGCTACATGAATCCTGGTTTACTATTTTGTTAAATCAAGGTTCAGGATTCATGATAAGTTTTCATAAAATTTTACGTTGGTTGTCTACCTAACACAATCCAGCGCCTTTACTCAGGAATAGGAAAGGTTAAGAAAAAGATCATCACCCTTGTTAGACCAAAGACCAAAAGAAATTATCGCTCATTAGGCCAAAATCTAGTGCCACATATAACTGGTAAAGCAAGCAAAAATCTAATGCCACATATAACTGGTAAAGCAAGCAAAAATCTAATGCCACATATAAATGGTAAAATGGAGGAAAGTGGCCACTATTGCCCCACACAACAAACACACATTTAGGATTGTCAGGCCACTTGATCCGATATGATCCACCATAAAGGAGTTATCCTGTATCGCTAGCCATGCATATGCTTGAATTTTGTGGCAATGCCAATGCAACAGTGATTGAAGGCTGCAATGGCATGTCACTTTGAAGGAATCTACAAGCTGAACATATTTCGAACTTATTTATTGGGTCCGATTTCTAGACGAGAGAGTCCTCTTTGGTGGGGCAATATTAAAATTTATGGAGGTTGCACAGGAGATCAGCCTGCAATGGCGCGTCACTTTGAAGGAATCTACAAGCTGAACTTATTTGGAACTAATCTATTGGGTCCGATTTCAAGAAGAGAGAGTCCTCTTTGGTGGGGCAATATTAAAATTTATGGAGGTTGCACAAAAGATCAGCAATACTCGTGAACTCCTGCGTCCCTCAGCCTCTTTTGCCTACATTACATGGACCACTCTGAGATTTTACCTTTCCTGACAACGGTATCTTTGATCAAAGCTTCTAGTCATCCTTCCTGACAACCACCATTTGATGAGGAGTGCTTCATTCATCAGCATGTAGTCTTTAAATATCTAGTCATCCATCTCTTTTAGGGCCGTAGGCGTTTTGCGACTTTTCCTACTGAAATCTCCTTTTTTATTCATCCCCACACGCTTCCACCTCGTCCATGAGCATCATCTCATTAGGAAGTCAAAGTCTATTGCCCGCCAAAGCAGGAATTCTAAGTGAGGATATAAACTACATAAGAAGATCTGTTAAATTGGATTAATGTGATTTCACCCCTAACTAATAAGAGCTTAGTCCTCCAGATATTTCTTTTGGAATCTCTTGATCATTGCACACTGAACAGATATTGGCACTAGCACCTTAGCACTAGATAGTGGTAGTACGCGATATTTGTATCGAAATTGGTCACCCTCTTACCCCACTATATATAGTAGAACCTCTTCCAGGCAAGTCATATCTACCAATTTCATCTTCCCTTTTATCAACTTCTCATAGACCTTGAAGTGAGAGATGACCTCATAGTGTCAAGCAAAAGCTGCATGTCAACACAAGCTTCGCACTTGTCCTTTTGATGTGTCGCTAAATATCATGATAGCATCCACACTTTCAATATCTTGAGTTGATAATCCAAAAAAAATAGAAAGATTGAAGAAGATATCGCATATAGAATTAAAGCTGGATGGACGAAGTTGAAATCTGCAACTAGAATTTTATGTTAACGCTACATATCAATGAAATTAAAGGGCAAGTTCTATACGACAATTGTAATACTAGCTTTGCTCTATGAAGCAGAATGTTAGGCAGACAAAAAATCATTTACCTATAAAATGAGTGTAGCAGAGATGGGGATGTTGAGATGGATAAGTGGCAAAACAAGAAGGGATAGAATTCAAAAATAAATGCATTCAAAAGAATTTTAGTGTGGCACCAACAAGCGATAAGATGAAATAAAGTAAACTTAGGTGGACAAGCCATGTGTGACGTCGACCATGTACAACACTTTTTAGGAGGAGCGAGTTAGTTCAAGTGAAAAGACTAAAAAAAGAATAGAATATGACCAAAAGGACATGGTTAGAAATAATCTGAAAAAATATGAAGATTTATAGCATCATTGAGTGTATGGTCTTTAATAGAACAAAATAGCAGAGTAAAATTCATGTAACCAACCCTAACTATGATGACGATGATCCGCATAATACAGCATATTTTCAATTGGCTTGTTTATTTCACAAAATTGCACTCATTTGATAGGGGGTATTTCGAATATACTCTCATTATAGCACCGGAAGCTTAGCAGATGGCTGGATGTTTATGCCATGATAAAGTACTAAGTGCATCATAATATCCTTTTAAAATCCATCTTAGAAATGGATTATAGACTTGAAATTTCATAAATGGATAATCCGACCCACAATGATCATGGATCTGATGAATGATAAGATAACTCATCCAAAAAATGGCTACAAGACAACTCATCCTTTCAAATCAATTTTTAGCAAGATAACTCATCCAAAATATTGATTATGAATGATGAGATGAAAAAATAATGTCTGGTAACATGATTTGCTTTCCATGAAAGCTAGCAATGGCTGCATGGTCCAAGAACATGCTTAAACTGAGGATGACTAGCAGCCTAAAAAGATCTCCCTGGTGGGAAAGAGGTGGGAAGGGGGAGGGAGGGGGGAGAGGGGATGGGGGAGAGTGAGAGAGACCTAGCTTCCAAAGCCCCTTGAAGGAGAAGAATATTGTCGATCCTTTCCTTTACACCCGCTGTCAGTTTAAGCGTGTTCTCAGATGGATTTTGCCAGGGCCAAGTTTCCTACTTAGTTGAATTAGTTTGAGTAAGATCAATGCCTTCTGTTGTGATTGCTTGCTATGCGAAAAAATGAATTAGGAAAATGACTCATTCAGAATGGTGCTGAACTAGTACGCCTTAGCTGGTATCTCGGCTCCATACGTGGTACAGAATCCAGAAGCATTTCGACTTCCTGCCAATAAAAAGAAGAAATCTCAGTTGCAAGTTTCAACCTAACATGTATGCACAAGATGTTGAATTTTAAATAGGAAGATTTTCCGTGACTTTTTGAAATAAAGTTATCACAAGAAAAACAAAACTTTGATAAAACCTTTTTTCTAGATTTCATAACATAAAGATGAACTAAACTCAACAATATTGTTATGACTAATACTATCTTAATAAAAAAAATTTCCTGAAGTCTCCTGTAGCCGGTCTTCGGATTCTTACTTTGTAGACTTGCTTGTTTTATGCATATTTTACAAGGATAAACAAATTAACTTCAAAGCAAATAGGAACCAAAGACTATTACAAATAATAAAATAAGAAGGGCTCAGACTTTAAAAACATAAAATATATCCACTTGAAATAAGAATATCAATTAGTATGATATTAGTACAAGCAATTGGCATCATATTAATGATGATTCCAAAAGTTCCCGACAATGAAAAATGAGCCGATCAAACAAAGTGAAAATTTTATTATAGGACCTGAATGACAAAGAAACAAGTTAGGAGTTCCCAGTAGTCTCAACTCCCAAAGAAACAAAACCCAGAAAAATAAATATACAAAATCTTGTTGGCAGTTGTCTCCAAAATCTACCATTGTTCTTAGCACAAGCAGTGCTCAAAGACACCAAGTAAAGTGAAGAATGAATCACATTGCACTTTATGAAACCTTTCCATCAGCTCCTAATTCCTATATAGTATAACCCTACAGCCAAAAGACATAAACATGTTGAATCTTTTACTCATGCAAACACAAAGCAAAAGAGAAGCTTTGGTTGATTATTTATAATAAAATCCCCAAAATTCCAGAAAGTATACTACAAAAAATATACAAGTGGATCACATGTCAAATAATCAACACACCTCCGAAGGTAAGATACTAAAAATCGAACACATATTACAAACCATAAGGACCATCAAGGAAAGCAAATGGATCACAGCATAGATGTATGCTTATCTGAGAATTGCACAGCTCATTTGGGTAGGGTTTGCTTTGGGGTTTGGATCTTAAGCATTCCAATTGCATAAAAAAAGCAACTTTTTCCGGGAATATCTATTTATATGGCAACTTAAGCAAGGCCCAAGGAGGAATAAGGAGGACATAAAAACCTATCTAAAAAAGACTGACATTAATTGCAGTCCAGTCTTTACTTTGAGTGAATTTGCCAAAAACACCCAATATAAGTAGGATATAAACTAGAAGAGAAACAAAGAACACAACAAAAGCAACACACTAACCTAGATAAAAACAAAATAGGCAAATAGCACATGACGAAACTCGTATGATTCTTTTGCTCTGGATTATACTCAGGAATGTTGCACTGGAAGTTTACTACGAAATGGCCACAGATCTCAAATTTTAAAACCTTGAGCATTTTGGACAAAGGAAGTTGTGCATAAATAGTTTGTGGTCTAGCTTAAACTAGATAAAAACAATGAAACAGAGGACACACCTACAAATGGTGTAAGTTCATTTTGGGCACTTAATTCCTTAAAATTTGAATGTAATTTACAAAATTTTGGGTTTTATTTGGTAAGTCCAAGCTGGTCTGCTGAGGATCCTCTCTTAGTTCAGCTCCTTAGGAGTGCCTAGTGTTTTCGGATAAGGTGAGGAGTTTGGAGAGGGGAAAAGGAGGACTTCACCCTCAATAAATACATAGGTAAACAATTCAGTAGTACTGCACGTCAAATTGTCCAATTAGACCTTTGGGTAGCAGGATCTTGATGGATCCCAAAACTATCATAGAACGGGAAACCATGAATAAGACAAAAGTAAAAGTAACATGTTACCATAGCATAAGAACAAAAATAACATAAAAAAAATTTCATATGATTCTCCAGTTCTTGACCATAATGAGGATTACTGTATTACTAGTTTTACTACAATGTGAAGCCACGAGAGTCAACTTCAAAAACTTAAATATTTTGGACAAAGGTGTGCCAAAAGTAGTTGGCTACCTTGAAACAGATAAAAACAATGAAATAGGGGGCACAACTAAGTACCCATAAGTGAAATAGAGGGTGAAGTTGAACTCCAACCCAGAGGTGGTTAGACAAAAGGAAAAATCATAACATTGGGGGCGAAAGAGAAATGAAACATCATAAGGTTAATAATCTTTCAAAACTAATCATATTTTTGTTGAACTTTGGAGATCCATTTTAATGGCCTCCTCCAAATTAAGGAGCATACCCGACACGACCCCCTCCTCCCATGGACAACCAAAAAGAAGAATTTATGATAGCAATATTTAGTTTTGTATTATTTACTGTCCTCCATTGCAACAGCTGATTAAATAAGTGAAATGGCACTCTGAATTCCAGTTCGCCACATAGTTACAAAAAAGTTTTCTTGTTGAGATGGTATCCCTAAAATAAAAATAAGGTATGTTATCCTCTATAGAAGTTCACAAAATTATGTCTTACCTTGTGTTATTAGCATATTTAATAGGTCGGGTACTTTCTTAAGCACTGCTCTGATTTGAGTTTTGAAAAAAAATGGACCAGTGAGTTGACCTACAATGCTACTAGCTGCACTCTACAACCTGCAACCTGCAAAAAAAAACAAAAAAAAAATGACACGAAACTTGAGGCTGAAATTAAATAAAACGAGAGTGTTAGATCGCTATTTAATATAAGATAGTTTTCTTGGCCCTATTTTTTTTTAAAAAAAAAAGGAAAAAAAGAGAGGGGAAACAAAGCAGAAAAATCCCATCCAAAGCAAAAAAAATTCACGGAAATACTTTGAGAGGACAAGAAAAATGACAGCACAAAATAAGAGAAAATAAGAAAAGGAAAGAAAGATGCCTCATTTCATGGAAGTCCATGTGTTGCACCACTTGATTCAAAATAATTTTGAAGGAAATGGTGGCAAAAGTCCCAAAAGTATAAATCCACAGTAACAAAATTGTCCACTCAAAGTCAAAATCTTAATGGCACACACAAGGTAAGTATTGAAGGACGAAACACTCTTTCCACTCTTTGCACATCTTTGATATGAAAAATAAACAATTTAAAGAAAATGATTCTAAGTTCATAAAGGCCTAGATCTACTGTCCACCAAATACACTACAGTATATAGATGTTGCTTTATGTAATATTTTTCCAATATACAATGTGTGCAGGGAATACTTGCTTGCCCCCAAAACTAATTTCTTTAGCATTAGCTGACAGACCAAAAACTCCTGAGTAGACCTGTTTATGGGCATTAGATTTGCCCCAAATGTCCCATATATACTCTCTAAAAATCAATGAACAATCTCACCAAAAATAAATAAATAAATAAACCCAAACAATAAATTTCCTCAAGAGAGAAAATTTAGTGAACATCGGTCATCCATCTATATCTTAAAATTTTAAGAACTAAAAAAAACAATTATCTTTTTGTTTTTAAATTGTTCATCTGGTGATATGAGAACATATACAAAATTTAGGATCAAACCAATCCCCCCAAGGCCTGGCAAAAAAAAAAATTATCGTTTTTGTTTTAAATTGTTCATCTCGTGATATGAGAACATATACAAAATTTAGGATCAAACCAATCCCCCCAAGGCTTGAATGAAATACCACTTTTTCTTTCTTAAATGAATTGCATGTATTATCATATTTTTCTCTCTCCTCAAGACTTTAATGTTATTTATTTGGATTTTTTCATGAGCTAGTTCATTGATTGAATATGGCTTCTCTATAAACTAAAGTTAAACAAATTCCCCTAGTAAGCTTTTTGGTTTTGGCAGGTGAGTTAATGATGTAGAAATCAGCCTGGGGGTGTATATAATCATCTCTCTCTCTCTCTCTCT